TTAGACCCAAAGGCAGCTACTTTAATCGACTGCACAGTTTAGTACGTCAAAACTGTATGCTCACCATCCCCGATCCAAATCCAATTCCTCTACTGAATGATACAAAGAGTCCATGAGAAACACCTCCAGCATTGAACTCAACAACACAACCTGTGCATTGCTCTGCACCTCTGCATTGCATCATTCTCACTTGTGGATGGATGGTGAATTAACACTACATATACGGTGCAATTTTAATTAGCCTCAGCAGATGCAGTGAAAACATGTCATTTACTGTAGGTGGTTCATCAATCAATCAATCATAAACAGACCTCTCTTCACAGGTTATCAAAACACTGCCTCTATGAAGACACACCACTTCTTTTTAATGTGTAATTAAAATGGTCTCTGAAATCGTCTTTGACAGTCCGGGGCTTAGCCAAAAATGTAAATTACATTAAAGGAGACAATTAATATAATTTTGCTTAATGTCCCCTTTTTCTGATTCTCATTTACATAGCGTTTGCAACGCAAAAAGCTGACCTTATAAATACTGGCATTTGTTCATCTTGGGAGTTAATCACGCTTATGCAAAACCCAGATGGGAACACACCACCACATCAATTTTCGTATTTGTTGGTAGAGAGAAGAGAAACCACAAATGAGATGGTCCGACCCAGAGTCTTTTGTTGCTGACAAACAACTCGACAACAAGTGCACTGCACTCCGGGATATGACCTCGTAGGTGTTCCACAAATGAACAATAACGCACAGTAATTTTAAAAGTACAGTGCACTAATGAGCGGCATTAGGCCAAAAGTGTTATTGCATTAACACGTGAACAGGTGCGGAGGCCTTTATAAATGAGCTAAATTAATAAAACCCTCCCACAGCACAACAATGTGTGCTGATGACAACAAAAAAAATAACAAAAAAAAAGTCCATGTCATGAATTATTCAGTGCCTGAGCGGCCTCCAGAGGTCAGTGCTCTTTGACCTTTGTGACAGGAAGTGAAAGGGAGTGCGGTTGAAGCTGGAATAAGCGGAGCTGACATGATTTGGTCTGGTCCGCAGTCCTCCTTTCTGGATGGGAGCGTAAATTGACACGGATGTTAAGCTGTGTGAACATACATTAGATTCAAAATTAATGTATGGGCAGCCTGAGCTCTGAAAACACACTCCCTCCTCTGCTATCCTCACCTAATCTGCTGCATCTCCTCTGTGATACACGCGACCTTTGAACTTTGACATAGAGAATTAGTCATTTTCGCTCCTTTTTTTCCAACAGCATGTTCCTCTTTCTTATTACAAAATCCAGGTGTAAGCCTGGACCATGTATATAATCTTTCACACAGGAGAAGACAAAGTCAATATGCAGGAGAGTGAAGACCGATACCAGGGCAGGAGAGTCATCACAAATTGAATTATGTTTGGCACGCGCTGCTCTACACATACTGTAAATGGGGAAACCAACTAATCAGATATTGGGCACATCATCACTATAACTCTCGAGACTCAAATTACTGCCTGTGTAAACCCACGCCCTCACTCACTTTAAGGCGCCACTAGCTTATAGATGTGACATGCGTTCCACCACTGACTTCATAACGGGAAGATATGATTATAACCATCTGAGAAGTACTGTAGTCATAGCGATAGTGATACAATAAATGCCCAAATTCAATCATTGTCTTTTTGTTTCTGCAAGGGCCAACATAGTTTCCAACATTCTCATTTCCTGATTAAAAGAGAAAAAAAAATATGTATGCATAGACACACAGAACACAATAGACTTTAAATGTACAGTCAGAGCAGAAATAGTCAGCCTTTAGCCAGCAGTTTAGAGATTCCCTTCACACACACACACACACACACACACACAATAGTAACTTTCTTTCCCCAGAAAACAAATATGAATAATGCAATGACATCAAAAGTCACTTGTGAAATATTTAAAGATGCACTATGCAGAAACCTCCATATCCTGGTTGCAAAAATTCTAAAAGGTTTGCCTAATTTCAGTTTATGTGACAAAACAGGCAAGAATAGTGTAGAGAATCATTGTACCATCTAAACTGCTGTGAAATATATTTTCCATAAACAAAAATATTGTATTTTCAGCTGTTTGAAGCTGGTGTACAAAACTGAAAGTAAAAGATGTGAAACAAAACGAGAAGCATAGAAATAGCGCACATAGAACCGATCTATCGCTTCTTAGACTTGCTTTCAATGAGAATGACAGATCTATAACTGACATTTCTATGTGAATATGGTCAGGTCGCCCAAAAAGTTACATATTGCAGCATTAAAGATCCACCAGCATTGAAACTTTGTGACAGCTGTTAGGCTTAAATCTAACTAACTTTTTTAAAGAATTCTTTCCTTTCAAAAAAATTACTGAAAATCTACATCGAACTGGGAGAGAAAATAGGGTAAACAGATGTCTGGCTTGACCACAGGAAAATAGGACACATTTGGAATGATAAGTTTCCCAAACTCAGTCGGATATGCCAGATCCATGGGAACGCCAGTTAATGTCTTGCTAGATGCCAGCTAGCTGTGTGCGCTTTCCCGTCTTACCATCTGGGAAAATGTAACAGCAAGGCAACGCCGTCCATGATTCACTCCAAATCTGTTTCTTAACGGTTGGGCAATGCTACTGTTTCTCTAGGAAATGTGGCAGAGCTGAACTAGATGTTTTATACTGTAATGTAGGCAGATACCTAAGACATGACTGATTTAACAATCAGACCTCTCTCCTGTTTTTCACATTCTAAACTCTCAGCTCTCTTCAATTGAAAGTAATCACTTTTAGCCAGAAGCAACTGCAGCACAGGTGCCACTCACAATTTGCATGAGAAACTGAGAGATGTAACAAGAGAGTCTAACACATTGAGGCTTCATAAAATCTCGCTTATATGTTCACTGAAAATTACTATATCAGGATGATAAACTGGGTGACGTGCATGCAGTACAGAACACTTCAGTGATATTGTGTAAACCTCAAAACTCCAGAACTAGCCTTTCTGCAACCCCCCTCTAGTCAGTGTGAAGTCAATGGGAAGTAGTGTGGGTCCGGGAGGGTGAACTGATCTGCTCATAGTTACAGCATGGAGACAATGGGAGGGTCTAATGAGGAACATATGCTTTTGTGATTCAACAGACCGGTTCATTGTGTGAGGAAAGGGATACTCTACTCCCATTCACTCCCGTCACAATGAACATCTGAGCCGGTTGAGTTTACAATATCCATCCGCTTCTCCTTTTTTCCTCTTTGACGTTAATTCTCCATGCATTCATTTTGTCTATTGTACTTATGTTACATGTTTTATCCCACAGAATTAAGAATAATAGAGTGTGAAACTCAACGCAATAAAAGCGGCGAGCAGGGTTGGGTAGGTTTCTTTCTAAATGTAATCTGTTACAGGTACTAGTTACTTGTCAAAAATGTTAATCAGTAACATAATTTTTGGATTAGCCAAACTCAGTAACGTAATCTGATTACTTTCAGTTACTTTTGGATGACTTTCCCTTTAAGAGGCATTAGAAGAAGACTAAAAGGATCCATCAAAGCATTTGGTGTGTCATCATAGTGGTCTCTGACTTGTGGTCAGACTCACTCATGTGGAACAAACTTAAACTTGCACCTTGTTTCAATGCTAAATTGAATGTCATTGAGAAAACAAAAAAGTGCTTTAATGTATTTTTCACAAACATCCTTTCTGAATTTAAAATGAATCCTAGAAGTAATCATCTACTTTTTCAAAAGTGTCTGTAATCTGATTACAATATGTTTTATGGTAACGTAACTGATTACAGTTAGTTTTTTTGTAATCAGTTTACATGTAACTGATTTAATGTAATCAGTTACTCCCCAAAGCTAGCGGCATGGCAGTACTACAAAGCAAACTTAAAAGTAGTGGAAATAAGTGAAATGTTTATCTGTCATACTTTAGGTTTTTGTGTGAACACTGTATCCAATAAATACTAATAAATTACACAATCAGCTTCATAAAAGACATGATGAGAGCCCTTTATAATTATAAGTGTTGCCTTGAGCTGCTCGATATAAATCACATACATAATGGCCACAACATAATGTTACATCCAGTCCTACATAATAGAGGAACACCAGCTCTCTTAGTAGAGAGAGAGAGTTGTCTAGAGAAGCAGTAGCTGTGGTAATCCAGCCAGGCAGGCATTCAGGGCAGCCCCTACTTCCTGATACATGAGAAGCTTCTGGAGTGGCGGCAACAACTGTTCAGCCCTATTTGATTACTAATAAGAGAGTTGTCCCCTCTGTCAGATCCCAGGCATTCTCCGCTAAGCAAACAGTGATTCTGGCTAGTCAAACATTAGCATTGCTGTCTCTCCGCACTCCATGGTGAGAGTTACATGGGCTCAATGCTGAGGATATTCCCTCCTACAGACACGGGGGCACGCACACAAGCACGCATATTCATTTTTCAGCCGTGAGATAGAGGAGTCTGAATAACAGAAATACTTTGTGGAAGGAATGTAAGTAGCCAATATGCAGTTTATGTTCACTGAATATGTTCTCTGAATATCCAAAAACTGTAATATATGTGACATACTGTAATCTAAAGGTTCAGATCAAAGTCACTGGCACAAACTCCTATTATATCACTACAGAGCCCTAACCACCTTTACTCACAATCGTAGCACTGGATAATGACCACTTCAATAGACAAAAAATGGATGAGACAAAAAACATGATAAACCCCTTAGCTAATTAGACGAATACCCTGCATGATGCACCTGTGATTGAACGCCCCTCTCCAGGTGGTGACCGCCCCTCTGAGCACAGGTACCTGGGAAAGACTTCCCTCACCTGCTCACAGAGCAATCAGCCACAGTTCCCGTAGAGTTGACCAGAAGGTTGGAGTCAATCCACCTGGGCACCCAAACACTTGGGAGTTCTAACTCATTCACTACCCAACAGAGCTGAATCTAACACAGATCACAATCAAAGCAGTATGGAGGAGACATGGAGCAGGGGCCTACCTGTCGATGATCACAGGGTCTGACGGAGTCTCGTTCCTGTTGCCACAGCTCTTCTTATCACAACACCGGCTAGGGGAAGAAAGAGTGTGTTTGAGATCACCACAGTGGCTGTTACTGTTTATAAGACCATAGAGTGAACATTAGATCCATAAAAATGTATGCCACCTTCTAAGGTAAAACGTCATTGTGTTAAATTCGAACACAAAAAATAATAGAGAAATAGCGTACACTAAATCTATCCTTTAATGGATGCTGATGGATAATTAAAATGGAAAATTGAGAAAACACATTTTGTGGTACAGCGTTTGCCTTAGCGCTGGAGAAGAGGGAAAGAAAAGTAGAAAGGGGACTGGGCCAGGAGGCAGGGGAGTCACTTTTCACAGCTTCAGCTTTTGTTTACCTCTAATTGCCAAGCTGCTATTTCTGGGGGAGATGCAAGATGCCACCCTCAACCAATATTTCTGTGGGGCATTTATCAATTATGGCCTCAAAAGCACTAATCTATCCTCCACCACATGTTTCCACCATCTTTTCTCTAAACCTACAGTATACCTCCAGTTTTTTGACTGGAGCTTTAATTAAACCTGAAATTAAACACAAATATACCACTGCTTACCATTTGAAATTAAATGAACATGTATACTTGTATAATGGCCACAGGTCTAAATGAGATTGATTAATGCCATATGGCAAGTGAAGACAGACAATGCATTTGAAAAGCTACTGCGAGTCCATTCTATCAGTCAAATCACGTGATGTGCATTTTCCACAACATGCATACAGGGATAGGTTGAGTGTATTTGATTAATACTGCATATTAGTGCAACAATGTACTTAATGTTTTACCAGAGCGAAAAAGATCAGAAGAATACTCTCATGGAGTAGGCCTATAGGCTACTTATAACCTCATGCCCTCTTTAATGATGATAGCCTCCAGTAAGTCTTATTACATTTTGCAGACGCACTTATCCAGAGGGACTTACAGGAGCAATTAGGGTTAAGTGCCTTGCTCAATGGCACAACCACATATTTTTCACCTTGTTGTCTCTGGGATTCGAACCAGCGACATTTTGGTTATTAGCTCAAAGCTCTAGGCTACCTGCCTCCCACTACAGAATGCACTTTCTCTTTGACACTGACAGTAACATTTTATCTAGAGCGCACCATATTCCATGTGTCACAAATAAGTGATGGATGCATGTATAAAATGTTGTATGAGTGATGAGTTTTTTTGTTTGTTTTTAAGGCTAATCATTCTCAGTTCTCGGTCGGTGCACTTGCTCTCAAACAACTTGAACAATGCGCCGGTGAAACAAAAGAAAGGTTAACCGACAGTATCCGAATTCAGTAACTTCTCACAAAGCTCACGCTGAGCTCAACAATAAAAACAAAATACGTTTTTCCTTTTAGTATCAATGACACCGTTGAATAGCAGAGGAACATGAGACCTTGAGATTTGCGTGGTTAAACGACGCTGAAAAGCTCGCTGGTCACTGATGACAGGTGGGATCAACCAAGACCTGACTCCATGATTTGAGGCGCAGACTCACTGGCATCAGACTAATAGATTGACTAAGAGGCCCTGTAGGCTACAACTAGCCGGGTACCAGTCTGTTTGTATTCCACTCCTTGTAGGCCTACTCCGTGTCATATGCCAATACGATAAACAAGTGTGGGGAGAAAATATATAAATGTATAACTGTATACTTCTTCAACATCTTTGAGTTTGTGGAGAAAAAGTCCCGTGTAGCTCAGTTGGTAGAGCATTGCGTTTGCAACGCCAGGGTTGTGGGTTCGATTCCCACGGGGGGCCAGTATGAAAATGTATGCACTCACTAAAAAACTGTAAGTCGCTCTGGATAAGAGCATCTGCTAAATGACTCAAATGTAAAATATAAAAACAACAACACTTACCTGCACATAATTTCGTGTGTAAGAAGACATCTGCACATTTCAGGGTTTTTGTCTTGACCCTCATATATAATTGCCTTTGGAAAAAATAAAGACACAAATGTGTAGCCTACATTAAATATCTGAATACATGAGCAACTGTATATAATCATCTTTACATTAGCCTAAATATAAACGGCATTATGTTTAATAAAATAGAATAATCAAAAATAATTGAGTCCAATATATAACTACGCTATGTTGTTATTGGTGAAAAAAACAAGTGTAATGTTGTACACGTACGAAAATGATAACATGTTACAATGTTTGTCAAATGATAATAGCAGATAATAATACTTATAATAATAATAATAATAATAATAATAATAATAAGTACTATTATTATTATAACCTAGACATATTTTTGTAATAACAAATTAGCCTATGTGAAGAAGCTTTTTATGGGAAGTTTCAATGAAGTGTCATCAATATGGTTATAATCTGTGGATATTTGGGGGAAAGTGTTAATGGGCAATCTGTTGTTTATTTTGAGCTGCTAACAATGATCTTTCCGTGGATAAAAAGCGGTGTCTGGCAGTACGGTTGAGTAATTTTTAAGCATTGGCTGAAACAGATGGTGTGCAGCTATCAGTTGTGCCGCTCTCGCTCCCTCGGTTCCTCCCTCTCTCTATCTTGAAGAGAGGCACTTTGCTCCCCTTTAGTTAACTAGGCTACCTAGCATATTATACGGCACTGTAACATGCCATATTTTATTTATCATAGCACTTATTTATTAAATGAAGACATTTTGAATGAAAAGTGGGGCTATATGATTAGGAGGAAAGAATACACAATTACACTCTGAAATGTTGACGTTTTATTCTTACTGGGATTGAACCCCACTTTACTTTTTTGATGGCTCTGTTTTTATTTGTTGAGCACCGGGCGATTATCTCTATTGATTTGATTTATGTCGCTATTTGCAGCTGTAGAAACAGAGAAATCCATAAACTGCTTGTTCTGCGTCATTGACTCTGATCATTCGCAGAGGAATTTTCCCTCGGAGTGGTGGAAGCTTTATCGGCTCTATTCCGATGATCTGCTGTAACCCTCGGTAAATTAGTAGTAATAACAACCACCATGGTGGAAAAATATCAGATAAGGCCTCTTACAGATGTGTAATTACCTTAATGTGATGAGATTAGGGGTGTAATTTCGAGAATTCTTATAAGAATGGAAATGTTTCAGCAATACGAGCTATTTCAGAATCTCTTTCCAAACATTAGGCCTAGTTATGTTTAGCCTAATATGGGTCAAGCCTAGCAACATGCCTAAATGTAAACATGACTGGGCGTACTTGTAACTCCATATCAATAAAATAGCCTACTTTATTATGCAATAGCCTATCATATCTCATATGTAAACAAAACAAGTGTATGTATTATTCTATTGATATACTTTATCCGTATCGGCAGAAGGCACCAGCATTACAAGCCATCAATTTATATTGTATAGGCACACAATTGTAGGCTAAGCTTATGGTAATTTAGTGCTTGATACATTTTTACTTAAGAGTTGCGGAAAAACATGCTATAAGTCTACACGCTATCTATAATGTAATTTCAGTCAATGCATGATTGCATAAAGAAAACACGTTTCATGAATAGGCCTAGCCTATATTATGCATGCGTGAAGAATGCAGGTGAAGTATAGAAGCAATGTCTCTAGTGTAAGCAAGCTGTATGAATATATGAGTAACAGTAGGTTATACCTGCTTCGTCATGGAATCGATTAACCGTATGAAAATATCCTGTTCTGTTCTGACGCCTGGGGGAGAAAAGATACCAAGTTAAGACAGAGGTAGGGCTGTATAGGCTATGTGATGTACATTTGATGACAAAACACAAATTCATTTATTTGTTTTTAACCGAGAGAATTTCTAAAACTATTATCTACATCATACATATTTTTACCTGTAAATAATTATTTAGTAGCAAATCAATTAATTGTAAATTATTATTATTATTATTATTATTATTATTATTATTTATAGTCTTTATCTTTTGGGTGATACTGACTTTATGAAAATAATTGTTTCACTCACCATTGCTGTACAACAACTGTACTTTGTAAATGATCCCATTGTTCGTTTTTTCACCGTTTGGTTCCTGAAAACAATCAACAATGAGATGATGGTGAGTTGAAAATAAAGCATCTAACTATCTGATATTTCATCATTTAAAATGTATAATTTGTCAAAAATAAGACTTAGCTCTGACAACCACTCTCCTGTCATCGACGAATGGGGTTTAAAAAATCGATATTGCACGTGACCTGTCTTATTGACCCACATACATCTCTAAATACATAAAGTTAATTTCAAAGTACAGATGATGAAATTCAATAAATTATATTCTCATGAAGCGCTTACTTTATCTTTCTCCACAAAGTCCACATAAGCTGTCCTTTCAATCTCAACGGGTTGACCCTGTCTATCGTACAGTGCCAGGACGAAATGGAAAAAATTGGATTTTCTGAGGTTGGAAGGCGGCTGCTTTTCATAGTGTGCCCGCGCCAAGCCAACACCGCTGCGGGGAGAAAACAAGAGACCATATCGGTTAAGTATCAGACACGGGGGATAGATGATGGAGCTGATGAAAACAGTGAAGATGTGGAATCACGTTTGAGTATGAGAGATTTCTTGATTTGTTACAATAAGGGTAATATGATGTAATGAAAGAGAGGAGAGTCGAAGGGGGGCATTGGGAGACCGTAATTGATACAGGGGAGTGAGGGTCGATATGAGAAATGCATGAGAAAATCAAATGATTTGGCATGCGTACCTTTGGGCGGCTGTATTCGCATCCACCACCCCAGCTGTGTGCATCCATGAGCGGACTGAATTCAGCCCACCCAGCGGTTCCTCCTTCATCGTTGTCCCACCCCGCGATATAGTTTCCTGAATCCCGAACATTTAGAACAATTTACGTGCAAAGAGCCTCCTGTGAAATTGGGTAAATAAACGTCCAAAAGAGTTATCCTTGAGGGTTTACGGGATGTCGTAAGTGCGGTATCAGCCTTGCAAGGGGAAAAAACCCGGTCCACAGGTCTCGCCTCCCTCTTCAGTCCGTCCTGGGTTGCAGCGATGTGAACAATTCTCAAAGTACTCTACTTAGTTCGTGTGGTATCCACAGACTGGAAAAGTGACTTGTTCAACAGACTATGATTTTTTTGTGGCTATTGTTCCTTCTTTTTGTTATGCTTATTGTCAAAAAAAAGTCGATGGTTGTTGTGTGTGTGTGGATGAGGCTCTCAAAGTAGCGACATCCCTAAAGCACCACATCCAAAACCTTCAGAACACTGTTGAATAAACCACTCCTGAAATGGAAAGGTGCAGCTTCACCAAAAGACAAACACACGCAGTAGCTGATCACCGTGGAGGTGTTCCCGGTACGCAGGAGAGGTGGATAAGGGGCCTTTCGCTTCGTGCAGGATGGATGGGAACATGCAAAACTAAGCCCTCTTTCCCCGAGGACTGAAATCTTTCCCGGGAGCCAAAACGCTAAACCCACGGGAGAGGCTCAGTCAGAATATGACGCTCATGGGGCGTAGCTTTTACCATATATGGATCTCTGACGGTTTCTGTCATGCTTTGGCGCTATACTATACGTTTATAGCCTAGAAGCAACCTGAGAACACTCGCTCTACTTTCCTCTTGCAATGTGGTGAGTTGATTTTTTTTCCAATGATATGAATCCAACGAGGTGTGACCATCACACAACATCCATTCACTATATTAAAAAGCTATTCCTGTAATGGTCATTTGTCTATTGTGAACGCTTGCTTAAGTTATGGTACATTATATTTTTCAGAAGATTTGTAATTAAGCATGTTCATGTTTTAATTAGGTTATTTAATTGGGAGTATTATGACACATAAGATTGACATGGCCGGCCGTGAATTCACTAATGTGGGCTAAGCTAACGAAAATATTTAATAGGCCCATATGTTAGGCCTACATAAATCATGTTTTGGATTAAAATATTGAAATTTGTGTCATATTTTTGTTAAATCTCAAATGTAGCCTATCTTTAATCGAAAACGACATCGAATATGAATATCGATAGGAATAAGGCCGAGTAGGTAAACTGAATGTGTTTTAATTAATTCAATTCGATGCAGATATTAAAATATTTGCAACGCCTCGGGATGTCGTTCACTATAATGCAGAGAAAAAGTTTTTAGCAAACAAAATGACAAGAATAATGAAAGTGGATAGTGAGTTTGGAAAATGACCACCACTCATTTAGGTATGTTCCAAATGATATTATGAATCAGGAAAACATAATGACTGCAATTTCATTCCATTTCTATTCCCTGACCTCTAATGTAACCAAGATCCGGATTGTCTTGTATTAAAAATACTCGGGGACAATAAGGTATCGTGTCTTATTTTCATCTCATGACAGTAGACGTCATAAGTAGTATAATGTTTTGATTAATTGGGGGAGAGCCAATGTCCGAGCCATGGCTTCAGAAAACCCTTCACCTTATTGAGGGTGAATATGTGAAGGAGGGGGGAGGGAATGGGGGTAGGAGAGAGGAAGAGATGTATCCTCAGCAATCTATCTGGTGTTGAGGGTTAATAGCTGCTGCCAAAGATAAGTGAATAATAAGCTGTTGCTTTCACCTCTTTCAAGATCTATTGCCACTCCACATAATAAGATATATATCCTTATACATGCGTCAAAATGAAATGTTTTGATAAGCCAAGCAAGTAAATGCCCAATTACCACGTTTTTTTTTTTTTACTGCCATTCTTCTATGAACACATATAAAACAGGCTTGGGAGCAGAACCGAGCAAATGTGTCTGTTCATTTGAGATTGCAAACCTATCTTTCTTTACAGAACTTTGTCCTAGCCATACTGTGTGTTTTTTAACATGGCTTCAGTCGTTTATTAGAACTTAACCCCTAATTACACGCACCAATCCGATTTAAATCTGATTATCAAATTAGGAGCCTTTGAGACAAATCCTCTTAGATCTGATACTGTTGACTGGAGAGGGAAAATGGATCTCCACACCCGTCACGTAGGTAACGATGCTGTCCCGAAAGGGGGCTTTAAACCGTATTTGACAACAAATGCAGCTGCCCCGCTATTTCAGAAGATATTAGAGGAAAATGAATGCAAATCTGTGTTCAGAAGCCATCTGGACGTGGCGAGAGGCAGTCAGCTGCTCCACACACAGGCGAGGAGCCTGAATCCGTCTCGGCTCATTCTCCGGGATCATCTGCATGGTGGGCTTACAGCGTGGAAAATTCGCTCGCCATCATTAAGATAATATTATAGTCACACGTTCCAAAAAAATGATGTTGTTTGTTGATCTCCCATTTCATAACACTGCAAGTTTACGGATGAAGAATCTGATATTTATTTTTGATCTATTATTTCTATCAATCAATTGGTCAACTTGCCACATAGGCTACAACTATTTTCTGCATCGCAAAAAGTTAATTGTGGCATATAGGGGCCTACCACATTGAACGTAAGTGAAGACAAGATTCCTGGATGTGCATAAGTTGTTTTCTCCAAGCATCTTCATCATACACAATGGCCTATATTTTAGATCATATTGAAATTATCTTATTTTTTTATTTTTTATTAGATTACCCAGATATCCCCAAAAGCTAATATGGTGATGAAGCTGAATTTCTTCAGATCATTGGCGCGTGGCTCTTTTGTGCCTTGTGACTAAGACCTCCCGTCTAGAAGGAACGAGTCTCCACAGTATTGATTGTGACGTCTTCTTTTTTGTACGAATTTACCGGGCCAGGCCCTCATGATCTCCGTAAATTTGCATGTAAATGGCGACATCAGCCGATGCGCATGCCACAGGCCAGCGGGCCTCCCAGATGTCATGGCAAAGTCAATCAGACGGCCGCTACCCAGCTGTTCTGAAGACTATGGACTTTAGGACAACTATTATAATCACATTCATTGATTAGTCATCATGATTTAACTTTATTGATTTAACTTTAAGCCACTTTTGTGAACTTTCAGCATTTTTACAATAAAAAATGTATATAGGCCTAATGCACATTTACAAAAGCCATGCACTATTTTGTGATCAAAAAGCCTAGTGTCAAATATAGTAAACAACCCACGTATGAATTTGATTCGAAAGAGAAATATAGTTTAACCAAGATAGCCTATGCATAATAAACTCATTTATTTTACTCAATATTTGTATATTCATCAACTGGTTTCTGAAGGTGAAATAGAAAATTCGTTTCAGAGTTGCAAAGAGTTCACATTTACATCGGCTTGTTTTTTATTGCTTTGTTGGCTAAATAGGTCATACGAATCAAACTCTTTATAGAAATGTCACTTGTAGCATAATTATTTGTCTTAGATTGTGTAGACTTCATGTAGCCTCATCTGTTTAAAAGTCAATCTGATATGACACAAATGAGTAACATAGGCAGATAACATAATAAAAACATAAGTACAATATTATGAAAGACAAGGGAAAATGTACTCATAAGAAAATACACTGAATGGCATAGCGAAAAACGCATTGGGTCTACATCTAAGCCTGCATTTCAGACATTTGAAAACCAAATTCTGAGCAGTTTCCCCCAATTTTTGTAAATAATTAGTTTAGCATAACAACAACAAGTATTGGCTATGCAGCATTTTACAGATAAATTATATGAACATGCACTGAGTGTACAAAACATTAGGAACACCTTCCTAATATTGAGTTGCACCCCCTTTTGCCCTCAGAAAAGCCTCAATTCGTCGGGGCATGGACTCTACAAGGTGTCAAAAGCGTTCCACAGGGATGCTGGCCCATGTTGACTCCAATGCTTCCCACAGTTTTCTCAAGTTGTCTGGATGTCCTTTGGGTGGTGGACCATTGTTGATACACACGGGAAACAGTTGAGCGTGAAAAACCGAGCAGCGTTGCAGTTCTTGACACACTCAAACCAGTGCACCTGACACCTCCTACTAACATACCCCGTTTAAAGGAATTTAAATATTTTGTCCTGCCCATTGGCCCTCTGAATGGCACACAGACACAATCCATGTCTCAATTGTCTCAAGGCTTAAAAAACCTTCTTTAACCTGTTGAAGTGGATTTAACAAGTGACATCAATAAGGGAGCACCTGGATTCACCTGGTCAGTATATGTCATGTTCCTAATGTTTTGTACACTCAGTGTATCTGAAGTCACATGTGGACACGCAAAAGGAGTTGATAGACAGCGCCCCTCGTTGGTTAAAATAGAGATATTCTGTGGATTGGGGGCATCTGTTCTCCTCAGTGATGAAATGAATCGAATATTCATTTTTTACGCCAACAGAATGAGAAGGGTTTGAACCAATGGTCCCGGGCAATTGTATGCAAAGGAAGATGGATTCGATTACATTATTTGTAGGCCTAATAGTTTATCTTCCTTTCTTTGAGTAGCCTCCAAACTATTGCCCTACTGTTTACTACTGAAAAGGGAGGCATCTATAAGGGGAGTTTATTTCGACACAACACCCCAAAATATTTGACAATTTTATTTTACCAAGCGAAAACATGGGCTTTATTCAAGAGCGTAAAATGTGCACTGCAAGTTCGATTGAATCTAAAATCTGAGCAATTTATTGAGACTATTTGAGTGTAAAATCTATTATTATTATTATTATTATTATTATATAGCATTTTACAGTGATACAGCGAGTTCATATTTTCGTCACCAACTTGAGTCAGAGTTGTCTTATTAATTGTGTGCAGTGGTGAGTTCTGTCAAGGGCATTGGCCGCGCGCACAATTTGCATTTTCATTCTGCTGGCAATGATGAGAGTTGCTGCACGGTTAGAGCCTCGCGGCGCAGTCTGCGGGCGATTCACATTTAAAAAAAGGCGAGATAAATTAAATAAGAAACCGAGACCACTTCAGGGCTATTAACATCTAAAATA